CCCGAACAAGGCTTTTTAAAGGTTTAAACTTTCTGTCAAGACTGGAAAGTGAGGTTTGGGCAGCACTTGTCCAGATATGGCAATAACACGCCATTTTTGATCTGATGTGACACTTGCAAAATTAAATTTTGGCAAAAAGAGATCAAAGTGGTACAAATTGCCGGTTATTTTTCAGTATTTTTAGCGATGGATCGTGCATATATATATATATATATATATATATATATATATATATATATATATAAAGAGAGAGAGAGCGAGAATCAACCAAAAAATGTCTACACACTTGTCTTTCGTAGTTTTCAAACTTTTATCCATGCCCAGACACTAAAGGATGTTGTGTATCACAGAAAACTAACAAGATTGGCGGTCTTTAGATAAAAAAAAAAAAATTGAAAATGCATGTACAACAATTCCACTGGACACTTTGATTAACGTTGCGCAAGCAGTAGTTCGCTGTACTAATAAATGTCTGGAAGCTAAAAATCACTATTTTAGCATCTCTTATGATTGTAACGTCCAAGTGTAATTTGTATTAATCTCGTGATGTCTGAATAAATTTAGTATTACAAGATCTATACAAGTTTTTTCTCCTTTCCAAATGTATGTTCTGTGTATTTAGGCAGTAAATGTTTTTCATAGCAAATACCATTAAAAACAACAGACATTTTGGGTCGATTCATTTTGTTGATCGTCTTTTCCGAAATATGAATAATACTTCTCAGACATGAAGGAAATTCCATCAGAATTTTTTTCCTCAAATGTATATAAACACACACACACACACACACACACACACAAGCACACACACATACATGTTGCACGTTGAATACGGTCGAAATCTTTTTTTGCCTACGTCCCAAAACTCACTAAGTGTCTCTACCTACCGTAATGATGACTTAATAAATAAAAAGCTTGGACCATATTTCTTGCGCTTTCTGACGGATTCCTCACAAAATGCCTGCTGTTTTTTAATAATATCTACCTTAAATATATATTGTTGCATGGTCTGGTGCACACACGTACACATCCCGAGGTTCTCGACAAAATCCAAAGACGGATATGCAATATAAGTTCTCACCTAGCATCTCGAATACAGTCAGTTTCTCACAGGCGTGATGTGGCTTCCCTCTGTCTTTTCTACAAATATTTTCATGGCAACTGCTCTAACGAGCTATTTTCACTGGTGCCCTGACTGCATGAATTTAATTGTGCGACTAGGTTGGTATCTCGGTCCCACCCTTTCACTGTCGAAACGGTTAACTGTAACCGCCTCTTCTACTCCAACTGCTTCTTCTCTCGCACTTCCCGACAGTGGAACTCCCTTCCTGTTACTTGCTTCCCTCATAGATATAATCTTCAAATATTCATGTGTAATGTCAATCGACATCTTCTAATGCCTTGATCTTGATCCCCTCTTTACTCTTACACTGACTCTCTGTAACTCCTTGCATGCTAGTGGCACTCCTGCCTTGCTTGGGATGAAATACTTTAAAAAATATATGTACGTTCAAGTTAAGGCCTAGCGTAAACTTGTCCCAGTAAACGTTCAAAGAATAGAGACTCGTCATGACTAAGGAAAACTCAGGTTTTGAAAGGTGAGGATCAAACGACACTAGCTTGGTTTTTGAAGTACAGTAGAATCCCTCATATCAGGAATTCCTTATATCCGCAATCCCTCATATCCGGAGTGCCTCATATCCGGAATCCCAGATATCCGGACATGATTTTGATGTGTATATTTGAACTATTTGCGTGATATTTAACTGATTTGAAATATGTTTTTTTCAGGAAATGTACTTTGGATAATTGCTTATGCGTATTTCACCATAATGGCTTGTATTGGTGCAAAGGATGATGGGGAAAAAAAAAGGGAAAAACAACTTTGGGGTTATCGCAAAAAGAGGAAATCTTAAACAGACTAGACGCTGGTGAAAGTTCATTGTAACTAATGGCTGAGTTCAACATAGGAAAGTCAGCATTGTATGGAATAAAATCTTCCAAAGAATCCATTCTCCAGCGTTCACACTTTCACAATGAACAAGGAAATAAAAACATGTTTGTGATGAAACCTGGACTGAAATTGAAAAAGCTATTGAAAATGTTGTCAGTTTTATGAAAAGAAAGCCAGCATTCAGCCATGACGAGTGCAATAACGCAGGCAGGGGTTAAAAGTGTCTTTCGTTTAAAAAAATTTCAAGAGCAAAAGCAAAACGAAATACGAAAAAAAGTTGAGAATGACATTAGAAGCGAAAGAATCATGCAACAACGATTAAAAAATCCTCGTTACATGATTTGTTTTGTATAGGTGTCATACTTAATTTAATGAATTTTCATTAACATTACATAATTTATTTCATTTTTCCTTGAAATCAGTTCCGTTGTATATCACTCACCATTAGCTTATTCTGTTTACTATAAAACATCGAAAATAAATGTTAAACCTGATTTCAGTTCTTTTATTTTAATCTAAATATAACCCCTCATATCCGGACTTTGTAATCAATCCCTCATATCCGGAAGGCCTTCTTAGCCCGGTTGTCTGGGATTCTTCTTTATTGAAAGTTAGAAGCCAGTTTTACTCATTGAGCTGTCAGAGCTAGATCAGAGGTGAGATCAGCTGCTAAGTTCTGGTCATCGTATTTTTTGGAGTTTCTTTCATAGACTGTGCTTTCATCTTCATAGATATTTATTAATTATCAGAGAATATACACAGGCAGGTCGTTGATAAAACAAAAAACCTAGAAGAAGTAAATGACAGAAGAATGCTTCAAAGAACGCCTGCATTACACTCATGGAAATCAGATGTGCGCTCATTAACAACGAAGGTATTATTTTACTTTTAATTCAAACTTAATAGATTAAATTGGCTATTTCCAATAAGCAAAATAATTTTCTGAATTTTAAACTGAAATTTAAATTGACTGGAATTATTTTTTGATTATCAGTAAAATCAATAAAATCGGCCATATTGCCAAGTCTGTCAACACAGCATAAAAAAAAAATTTTAAAAATCTTTCAAAAATAAAATTTACATTTCAGAAACTATTTTCAGAAGATGAACTGTTTTAAATTTTAACTGATCTGATTTGAAACAAATATTACTTTTAGTTTAAAATATCACGGAAAAGCATTTTTTAATATTCAGTTGAGTGGTTTTATGAGGTGTTGACACGTCTATGAATAACTTGATGCTTGCGATATTTATATAAGGGGGGAATGATTGTAGTAGAATTTTCTTTTTCTTTTTATGTGCCGTGTCTTTTCAGGACGTAAGCGATCATGGCTCTCCACAAACTCCTATCCCCTGTGGCTCTCAATAAGTTACGAGCCTCTGCCAACTCTCCCAGACCACGTTCTGTCATCCACTTGCTTAAACCCGCCAGGTATGTCATGTGTTACTTTCCCTTGTCTCTTTTCCCTGTATTCGACCTGTGAGTATCAAATTCTCCAGGCCCTCCTTTCTCAATACGTATCACAGAAATTTCACCTGCCTCTTACTTATGTTAAATATAAGTTTCTTCCTTGTTTGCATATAATCGTACGGTAGGTTGGTCGTCTGGATTTGATAAATAGTAAAATACATCCGCCATATTGTCTTCGTTAACACTGTTCATTTCTTTTTATGTGCCGTGTCCTTTCAGGGCGTAGGCAATCATGGATCTTCCCTTCCCTGTGGCTCTGAATAAGTTTCATGCCTCTGTCAACTCTGCCAGACCACGTTCTGTCATCCACTTGCTTAAACCCGCTAGGTATGTCATTATTTTAATTAACTTTTTAAAAATTAAACCATTTCATGTAAATAGTCGTTATTCATCAATTCTTTTTTTCGTAACGTAAATGGGCCCAAAATTTATTTTAATCATAAAAACAATTAAAAGCTTTTCTAATTAAATAATATCTTAGTTTTATTGTATTGGGTTGGTGCATAATTATCAGGCGTTTTTTTGGTTTTTTTTTTAAATAATATTTATTATAAAAATAGAAACATAGCAATTCATCAATAACATTTTTAAATGGTTCCTCCGGAGCCCATGATTATCGACACGCATTTTTATAACCTGAAAATAAAATAATATTTTTATTTAAAAAAAAAATAAACAAAAAGCAATTTTTATTAACAAATAAATCGCCTACAAAAACGCCTGATAATTATGCACCAGCCCAATATATTTTATTTTGCGATTCTGAGCAGATTTTCTGTCAATGGGGGTCCTGTTTGACAACAAAAAAAATGTCACGATTTAAATTCTCCTAGGACTTGTCCTTATAACTAATATAACATTGAGCCATACAAAAAAGAATTTCATAAAATTAAATGAGTGCAGATTAACAAATATGAAAAAAATATTTTTACCAATATTTTCTAAAAATGAGACGTTTCTAAAATTTTGTTTCTCTTTCTCCCAATTCTCTTTCTCAACCTTGCAACACACGAGTATCAGTCATGCATTTTTCATTAATACTTTTATTTCTTTTCCTCTAGTTTGTCTTTTCCTCTCTCTCTCTCTCTCTCACACACACACTCTCTCTCTCTCTCTCTCTTTCGTTCTCTCTCTCTCTCTCTCGTTCTCTCAATCTCGATTTTTTCTTCTCTATGTTTCTCTCCGCCTTCATTCCATCAGTCCTCATTTATCGTCTAAAAATCGCTGGGCAATGAAGACTCTGCAATGATGCATGACAGATTTTTCAGGACAGAACCGTAACGACTTAGGTCGACCCTTTGTCCCTTTGGGGAAGCATTAAAAATCGCATTAATGTCCGTCATGAATCAACATGGCAGTTAAGTTCAACTAGGCAAAAGGGCGGGAAAAGGCGAAGATGGTCAGCTGTCGAGGGAAAATAGAAGGAAGGAAGGAAGGAAGGAAGGAAGGAAGGAAGGAAGGAAGGAAGGAAGGAAGGAAGGAAATAAATAAATAAATAAAATTCAAAAAGTAAATCATGAAAAATGAAAACCGTTGCAACAATAAAAAGTAGTACGAATACTCATAGAATTAGGATTAAGAAAGAAAGAAAGAAAGAAAGAAAGAAAGAAAGAAAGAAAGAAAGAAAAAAGAAAAAAAAACAAACGATTGAAAAAAGATAGCAAGAAAGAAGTGATGGAATAATTCATATTTTGGTATGAAATGATAGCTACATAGAAAGAAAGAAAAAGAAAGAAAGAAAAGTCGTCTGAAAAGAATGAAAGAAAGAAACGTGGTGTGAAAGAAAAAAGAAAGAAAGAAAGAAAGAAAGAAAGAAAGAAAGAAAGAAAGACGGAAAGAAATGCGGATAGAATTCTTTATATTTTAACGGCTCAAAATATTAGGTTGGTGCAAAAATAATGACGTAATAATGTCGTTTTGTGACGTATTTTTAACCTCAAAAAACATTATTACGTCATCATTTTTGCACCAACCTAATATTAATTATGTTAAATCTGTTACTTGCACATTTATTTTATTTTGTATTTATTTTATTTTATTTTATTTTTACAAATTACGATATGTGACAAAATTTAATTCCCTGAATGACCATAGAGCACCTAGTAAGCATTTGCACACGAGCACGTCCTGTATGTTCTAATTTGCGCTTTCTTAAGTTGCGGGAAAGATGAGTCATTGGTTACGGTGCAATAAAGTTAAATACTTTATATATATATATATATATATATATATATATATATATATACATTTAAAATGACTACCAAGGTACTGTGATTAAGGATTTTTATTTAATAAAGTGTTTCCTTTTCTGGACATAAAGTGCGTATAAATTGTATGGATGTTCTAAATAACCAAGCGCTTTCGACTATTCTATTAGCCATTATCGAAGGTTTTTTTTAAAACTTTAACTGAATACACACACACACACACACACACACACACACACACACATACATATATATATATATATATATATATATATATATATATATATATATATATATATATATATATATATATATATATATATATATATATATATATATAAATTTGAGGAGAAATGGATAGCGGCTTGGATTGAGGAATCGGAGAGCCGAGTTCGAATCGTAGTCGAATCCATTACATTCTCTTACGGGCTTGCACTTCTTGGGAAATGTATGAATCCTCTTCTTCCCCTCCAGCTATGGTTAAATATCAGGAGGGAGAAGAAGTTCTATAGCCTTCGATGGCAACTAAGACAAGGACAGTCAAGTCCTGAATTGCCCCAAAAATTCGTTTGTCCTTCAGGTCTCTGTATTCGCCCTTGTCGATAGTTCTGCTCAAAACCTTCACCACTATAATCAAATCTCATGTGCTGTTGTCAGGCTGTCGGTTTCCTAGGAACTGATCTGCTTGACCCTCATACGTCGAATTCGGGAGAGTCGAGTACGAGTATATATATATATATATATATATATATATATATATATATATATATATATATTCTAAACATTGCTTGAAAATGAAACTGTACTCTAAATTTTAAGTTTAATATTGAAATGAAACTTTTAAACTGGAGTCAAGTTTCGAAATATAGTAATTTCTCTGTCGTGATGGATTCATATTTTTTTTTTTTTTGAATAATTATAATGTAAGTTCTACTGTATCGAGCAGTGTTTTTCAAAAATAAAAACAAAAATACTAGAGAACTTTGGATCATTAATCTAAATGTTCTATCATCTTATATCAATACTCACACGCACCTCCCACATATATATATATATATATATATATATATATATATATATATATATATATATATATATATATATATATATATATATATATATATCTTTGTGTGTGTGTCTGTGTACATAAATAGATATTCAAAAGAAAACGATTCTGAAGAATCCTCAAAGACACCTGAGTTAGCATCTGGCCTTTTTTCCCCGACAACTTTTCGCAATCATCAATACATCTGCCATCTTTGTTATCTCAGCCTATCATTGTGATTGATTGTCACTTTTGTTGAACGTCGAAATCATTAGAAAGCAAATCGATTTAAAGACGCCATGATTTTGTTTATAGAGATGTCACTGGTGCCCCTGAAGGGTCAAAGATTTGAAATTCGAGAAGGGAATGAAATTATGGCGAGATGACATCCGAACAATTACGCTAAAGTGATGCCAACCTACTTAAAATTCAAAGCTGCACAAAGGCTGTCTTTCTGGCCTTTATTTATATACTAGTGGAAGTAACACACGTAGCCCGGGCTTTTACCTAAAGTAAATAAATATGAATGAATCACGAATGTACTTTTGAAAAGGTGCTACAGTCGTATCCGCGTATTTGATCAACCGCGGAGCAAAAATATTCGAAAACATTATATAGTTCCATAAAGCAGATCTGAAATTTATCGGATACTGAGTCTTTCTTTCTAAGTGCCGTGTCTTTTTAGGATGTAGACAATCATGGCCCTCCACTTCCTCTATCACTTGCTGCTCTCAACAAGTTCCTCTGCCACCTTCTTCAGACCACATTCTGTAATGATATATATATATATGTAATGGGAGATATATATATATATATATATATATATATATATATATATATATATATATATATATATGAAAAATATATACGGAAAAAACAAAAAATCCTTATATACAATTATACTGTTTTAATGTTAATATGTCAACGTCGGACGTTTCGGTCTAATAAACCATCTTCAGGACATATTCATAAATTATAACATTATCAATACAACATTTTTGTTTGTTTTTTCCGTATATATTTTTCTTCATATCCATATATTTGCTTACATATATATATATATATATATATATATATATATATATATATATATTTCTCGAACATTCTGGCCGGTAAATGTTGTTTAATACTGTTTATTATAAAACAGACCATTTACTTAAATATTTGTATCTATAAAAAAGAATGTATAAACATAAAAATGTCTTAAAATAATTGTCGGACTTTCATAATGTGTGACGTCATTTGTTTACATTTGGATACGCCATGAGGAGATATGAATGTATGTGAGAGATTCATAGACGATTGAAGTTTAAATACAGTAAATTTGACCTTTTTACCCGAACTGTGGCCAAATTGGTAAAGGCACGTCAAGCTAAATGACGGTTCCGTATAGGATACAGGTTCGAATCCTGTCGGAGGACGAATATTTTTCTATGAAAATTTCTCGGACATTCAGGACGGTAAATGTTGTTTAATACTGTTTATTATAAAACAGAGCATTTACTTAAATATTTGTATCTATAAAAAGAATGTATAAACATAAAGATGTCTTGAAATAATTGTCGGACTTTGTCCATTTCATAATGCGTGACGTTATATATATATATATATATATATATATATATTGCTTAAGGTCAGTAGTTATGTCATGCGTTGTTTTCCCTTGTCTCTCTTTCCCTCTATCCAACCCGTGAGTATCAGATTCTCCAAGCCCACTTTCCTCATTATGTGTCCCAGGAACTTCGACTTTTTCCTTATGTTAATTATAAGCCTCCTCATTGTTTGCAACCTCTCTAAGACCTTATCGTTGCTCACATATTCTGTCCATGTAATCCTGACCATCCTTCTGTAGAACCACATCTCCCTCTCCTCGAGTCTCTTCGTCATATTTGAGGAAATCGTCCAACATTCGCTGCCGTAAAGAAGAACAGATGTCACGTAACAGCTCAGTATTCTTTTCTTTGTTACCAAAGAAATCCTTCTGTCTCGCAATACTCTGCCCAGCTTTTGGAATGCGTCCTTGGCCATCTCAAGACGTCTACGGATCTCAGTGTCGCACTTGCCGTCCTCTGTCAAAACGCTTCCCAGATATTTAAACTTCCGCGTCTGCTTGATTCTAGTGTTCCCGACCTGCAAAATGCATTTCGGGTTCATCCTCTCACTGATGACCATGCATTATGTTTATGCTTAGTCCTTTCTTCTCACTCTCCGTCGCTACATTCTGTAGAAGATTTTGTAATTTCCTTTCCGTGTCTGTTATCCGTAATGTGTCATTTGTGTATCTTATGCCGTTAAGATTGCGGCCGCCAATGCTAAATCCTGATAGGATTTCCAATTCTCTCAGAATTGTATAATAAAGGAAAAATAAGCATCTGTCTGTATGAGATGAAGTATTGTAACTATTTACATTATTTACAATGCTAGGTGGATAAATGCGTTGTTTGATTGATCGAAAAATGACTTAACCCAAAGAGTTGTGTGTTCAATCCCTGGCCACAGCAGAGAATGCAAAAAAAATGGAGAGTTGAGTTATCAAAAGGTAATTAACTGAAACTGAGATATTCAAAGGCAAGGCACGTGGAATTAGAACGATCTACCCCCGCGGACTAAATATAAGCTTCGGTTCGAAATTACAACAAATATAAGCTGAAGAAGGCGGAATGTACAACGGTTGAAACGTCGTGAATATGACAATAAAGATGAGGACTACAGTCTGAATAATGCAAATAGTATAAATAGGAAAAATAAAGGTTAAATGAAAAATGAAATTTTTTTTAATCATCTCACCCCAAGCAAGGTTATAAAGCCACTAAGATGCAAGAGAGTGTGAGAATATATGAGAAAAAATATTTTTAAGGGGAGAGGATAATAAAAGAACAGGAATTAAGAAGAGAGAAGATAATGATTGACATTGCATTTAAATTTTTGGAGATGAAAGTTGACTGGAAAGCAAGAGGCCGGAACAGAGTTCCACAAGTGAGAAGTGCGAGAGAAGAAACTGTTAACATAGAACTTACGGTTCCATCAAGCCATTTCAACTGTAAAATGAGGAGACCTGTCTGCCAATCTAGTATTGTGGTTTTTACTCCAAATACTGTGAAATTTAAATGAAACACAAGTAAAATAGAACTTACAAGTAATTCGTTTGAGTGACATAAGAAAGCTTGTCCTTGCCACTTGCAAAGTGAAATGATAAATTAAAATAACGTGAAACTTTAAAGAAATACTCACGTTAAGGAGCCAAGGTGGCAACTAACTTTCAACATTTATAATAAAACAGAAATGTCCAAAAGAGAAATATATATGCTTTAATAGTGTTTGAAACGACAGACGTAAGAGATAGCATAACCAATCAGAGCAAGAAACACTTCCAATATCTGAGTGTATGAATCAAAACTTTAGTTTATTTTACAACTATGTTCACCTTGTGCAAGAACCACTCGAGCTAGAGGGTTACATAGGCTGAGTTTATAGAGATACTAGCAGCATGGCCCGGCGTTGCCCGTGCTTGATTCAAAATTCGTACGACTCATACAGCAATCACTATCACTTGACTTAACATATTTTTACCCTTCCTTGCCTTTAAAGGAGTGCCCTTTGCC